TGGACAAGTCACAAAGTAAATACAAATACAAGTACACTACCTATACATGTATGTGACTGGGCACAAAGACTGTGGACTGGGTATCAATTTCACACCAGTTGGTATCAATAATAAAAATTTTATGGTCCAGAAGTGGATTTTTTTAAATGTGAAAGGTTATCTCCAAAGATACTGTGGGAAAATGCCTGAAAATTGTCACCCAGGACATTCAATGTACTTTAAATATAGGCTCGTACGAGGAGGAGCATGACACTATTATATAATAGTATGCTGGAGTTATATAACACCGACTGTGCCGTACCCGGCCCGACCCTAAATACCTGTTGGTGTTTAGTATCCGTGATTTGTACCAGTGTGTGTGTTGAGGGACTGTGTTTGTACATTACAATCGGCCTCTAGCAAGCCTTGGCTTCCAGGTTTGCGTGGACTTACCAAGCTGGTGATGATAAGATGTCCAAAGGGTTGATCACCTTACATAGTTTCATGCATAGCCGATCCAATAACTCACACCATAGTTTCTGCAGCGTGCGCGTGTGTTACAAGATGAAATCCAACTCACACTCCCAGTAGAGACCATGAACTCGTGTCAAAGGTCATTACCTGTCACCGCGCTTTAGCTTTATTTGTTACAAGCTAAAATATTATCATCAGTAATTTTTTTTTTCTAAAATTTGTTTGAATGAATCACCCTAGAGTATTATAGTTTTTAGGAAACAAACAAAAATAAAACCATGTTTCGCATCACGTGACCAGTGTCAATATAGGTCAAAGTGGAACTGCAACCTCGGATGGGTGGAATCTGAGGAAAGACCTTTTTTTCATTCAAATACGGTGTTTTGTAAGAGGAAGCGTTGCTTGGCTAATCTGTTTACAAGTGTAAGTTCTGTTAATATGTCTCTGACGCCATGTATATAATCTGACAACACTGTAGGCGTGTCAACCAGGAAGTTTCACGATTGACTCGAATTTGAGGGCGGCCGAAGAAGTTGAACTGTTGTCATACTGTGTTTACACCGACGTACCCATGCAGCTGTGTGGACTTCGCCGAAGTAATAACTTGGAATGAGTAGCTGTTTTGTCACCCACATCGTCGGATACCAAATATATAATAATACAATACGCCATGAAGCTGAACGAGAAAAATGTTGCTCATTTTTCGTCCTGTGACTCGCCCGTTGACAGAGAAGGTTGGCTCAGCAAGAGGGGCGAACTGAATAAGAGTTTCCAGAAACGGTGGTTCGTTCTCAAAGGCAATCTCCTCTTCTATTTTGAACGCAGAGGTGACAAGGAACCCATCGGTGTGATTATACTAGAAGGTTCGACCATAGAGCTGTTTGATGGAGAAACGTTTACTTTTCACATCACGTTCCAGGGTTATGGTACCCGCACATACGTATTGCAGGCAGATGACAATGCTGAGATGACTGAATGGATGCGGGCCATCTCCATGGCGAATTATGACTATATGAAATCCATGGTGGAGGAACTACAGAAACAGATGGATCAAGTGACTCAGTACGATTCAGAAGCCAATTTTGGCATAGCAGATTACGGTGGGGATGAAGTCCTTGGTGCTGTTGGTGGTAGAAGCTCATTTGGTAGGAGAACAGTTACAGGGGGGTCGGCGCCTAATGTTGCCTTCAACCCTCTTTTTGATCCACTTAGCAAACCTTCCAGGGCAACTTTCTATGTGGACCCTGGATATGAACAATCAAAAGTTCGCTGTCTTCCCCACCCCAGTGCTCCTAGGGATGTATATGACCAATCACACACAAACAATGATGTCGCAAACAGAAGCCGGAGATCAGAGTTTAAAGATGTCCCAGTGATACCGCCAAGACCCTCTCGATATGGGATATCGTCTTCAGTAGTGCTTGACCCGACAAAATTACAGCATTTGATGCAGAAAGGCTCCAGCCATTCCCTGCCCAAAGTACTGAGTCAGCCAACAGGACAGTCAATATTCCATGACCAGGAAGTTTACATTCGATCATTCACTGAAATGCATGAGGAATTCGGAATGTACATTGTGCAGAAAATAAACGAGTTTCGTCAGAAGAAGGATTCAGCTGATTTGGCTGCACGAATGCATCGTCCTGCACCACCACCACCACCAATAGATTCGATATTAGGTGAACCATTCCAAGCAGCTGCTGGTTCAATTCCACCATCTGTTGAACCCAAAACTGACTTGCTCTTAGATTTCTCATAGCATAATGCTACATGATGGTTTACAGATTTTAACAAATAGTTGTGTATATTACCACAAGTCTAGGCATAGTGGACATATTGGAACTGGGTACTTTCTATTCTTATATCACACTACCCGGTACCCACAATTCAGGGCATAATATTTTAGACTTGTATAAGGCCAAATGAAACAAATCTGGTGTTTTTCTGATACCGGTTAAATACTGAGTAGATGGGCAGGCATTTTTTTTTCTTCATTTTCCCCCCTCAATGAGTTTTTACTTTTAGGTTTTCAGTAGAACACTATAATTATGCTTTTACTATGTATACATGTGAAAAATAACATGTATGAAAAATTATTGTTCAGAATATATTTCCTTGATACAACTAGGTGCCAGTCATTCGCTACATAAAAGGAAAGGCATGAAATAAAAAAAATACACTGGACTGAATGTAGCTAATTTGCATAGAAATATATAATTTGTAGTTTATTTGCATCAAATAATTTTTTTTTATTTCACCCCAAAAAAATATTGGTAGGGTAACAGAAGACACGGAAATTATTTTATTTGGCCTAACAATATTTTCCATGACAACTAATGAATATACAGCAACTTTTTAGATTTTTACTGTTTGAGTGCTTGTAGGGTTAAAGGGTGGTTGTTGTAATGCAAATGTGGAATCTTTCATAAACAATGTTTACAATGCATAGGACTAATATTGAACATGTCATTTAATGACGAACATCGACCTTTAAGTGACATGGTCAGTCTCTGTAGTCAATAGTATTTGACATTATAGTAATTGATGTATGTCAAGGTCATCTACTCTGTTATTCTCATCTTGAACTTCATTGTTGTGTTGTGATGCTCATTTGAAAATGGGATCAATAGTTAATTTATTTAAAATAAGTTACTAGTAAAACATATGCAACAGTGATTCTGAAAAGTTCTTCTGAAAAGGATTGAATTTTATCATTGCTTTGTCGTAATGCGTAGTTGCTGAAATGCAACTGGTATGGTTAGTCCACCATGTCAAAACTGCAGTGAAATCTTCAAACCAAATGCAAAAAAGACTGAGAAATAACTGAAAGTTTGTCTGATATGTGCAAGTTTCTTGCATAAATCTCTTAAGTCTGTTTGATTGACCAGATAAGGATTAATTAAAGGAGCACTTCCAGTTAAGCCTAATCTCACAACAAGTTTACTTTCTGGGTTAAAATTACAATGGATAACAAAAGATAGATTAACATTGTAAACAACATAAACAATAGTGTCCCATGATTCTTTGGTGCAATCCCTGGGCTTGGAAGGTTCCCCTTTAACTTTTTGGACACCAGCATTTTTTTGGTAGCATTTTGCCTATTTTCATGTACTCTATAATTTTACTGTTTATTGTGGACCATATGGATATGATTTACCAATGGTTACATATTCTGATAACAATTCTTGAAAAAAAATGGAAAAATAATATGCAGGTTTAATTTGTGAAAGAACTGTACAGATTGAACTTTGAACCAGATTTGGTGCACACTTGTTATACTGTGTCATTGGTTTGCATGTTTCCACTTGAACTCCAAACTCGAACTTAAATTCCCAAGTCAGCTTTGGCACCTTTTACAAAATGAACACACAAAATTTTTCATATTTTTTTTTTCAAAAATTTTGATCAAGACCTCTGTATTCAATGGGACATTATTTCAACTTAGTTTATAATTAAGAGAGAAATTATTAAAAACTACATAAAAAATGTGCCAAATGTTGCACCAAAATGTTGGTGTGCAAAATTGTTGCCTTCAAAAGATTAATGACAATATCTGTTAATGAGAAAGATGTAATTTTCAGCCATTTCAATTGTCTGAACCTCAAACATGAACACGCATTTTTTTTGTTTCACACATTGCATGCTGGGAAAATTGTTGACAAGAATAACCAAGTAAATAATCATTAAAAATAGTTTTAATAAATTGTGAATATTTATGCGGACGCAATTTATAGAAGGATAGACAAAACTTGAATATTGTTAGCCTTTTAGGAATTTAGCAAGCACTTTCCAGGAAAAAAAATTGGTGCATTTTGTATTTTAAACAGCAAATTTGTCGAACCAGGAAGTTAAAAAGTCATGGTTTTTTTGGCGGAATCAAACAGACATACTGTATTTGAGATACTGAAGATAAGAGCAATAATTCAGCTGGCTAGGTGAGACAAGAAAAACAAATTCATGTTCATCAAATGGTCTTCATTGCTTGGATTTAAAACATTTGCATTTTGCATTTTAAAGGCAGTAAGCCTCTTCCCTTTAACTCCTTATATTAAGGGACAGCAATTCCGGGATATTATTATAATAAATTCAAAAGATCCAATATTTTAAAATCTTTAAGAAGTGGCTTTTTATGATGTGTGATACGAATTTATTCTTATAATGTATAGCAAGTTAAATTTAAATGCAGGAAAAATTTGTAGTATTTTAATCTTGTAGTTAGAAAATGATATTCTGTGTTGGATCTTGACTAAGGCCAGTTTTAATTAAGAGCTGGAGCTAAGTGTTCAAAATAGATAATCTAGTATTTTTTTTTTATTCAGTGTGAATATCACTTTGTTAATTTAATATGTTTACATTTTATCAGAAGGGTCAATCCAGTGTTTGATATAGTACCTGCAATTTCTGCAGTTGCATCACACATTTATCACATTAAGTGTTGTGTAATTATCGTTTTCGTTTATGCGTTTATCACGTTTACAATGCATATTTGCGCCAAACATTTATTGCCTTATCATCACACTTATCTATTTGTAAAAGTCATTATGTAAACGTATATTCCTCGATAACTCAAATATCACAACCTAAGTTAAATGATTGTCCATGACTGCAAGACAAAAATGAAGTAACCATGACTGAGTCAGTCTGTTTATTTGATTCCCAGTGTTACAATGTTAAAATATGTCGGGTAAGCATGAGAAAGGCGTGACGCAAATGTGACAGGGCTACTAATGTAGTACTGTAAAGTACTTTATTTTCACTTGAAATTAATTTTTGCTATTTTCGCTGAAGGAATGATTCAGTGAAAATAAAATCCAGCGAATATACCCTAGTTCCTATATTCTAAATTCAACTTGCCAAAAATCGGTGAAAATGAATTCCATACAAAAAACTAGTACTCAAAATGTCTTTTCAGCGAAAATTAATTCCAGCTAAAATAAAGTATTTCACAGTTAATGTGTGAACATATGTGATAAAATGGGGGATGTCATAATGTTGTTTTGGTGGTATTGTAACCAAGGTTTCATTGAAATCATATGACTAACTCTCAGGCATTGCAAGACCGTCAGATATTTCAAAATGGTGGTTTCATTAGCTTAGCTTAGATTATCACACTGGTATTATTGAAGCCTTGTAATATCACATATAATGCATGATGATCTGGAAATAAATATTGTAATAATAATTTATGAATGCAACATAGCTTTGTCTTTAATTGCCGTGATATACCATTTGTGGGTTTCTATACACAATCAAATCTGCAGTCTGGCTTGTAGCTTTTGTTGTGGAACAATCACTAAAAGTAGTTCTCAAAATATCTATCAATCACACTAGGCCACACTGGATAAACATTATACCAGGTAAACACCACACTAGATAAACACCACATTTTTATATTTTTTTATTGTTATTTTTGTTATTTATGAATATTTTTTGGCTTTTACTTGTCTTTATTAAAATTTTTCTATATCATATCCAGTTGCTTCAACTAGTTAAGACTACGGGTTATGATATGTATGAAAACTTCAAGTAAACCAAAAAATATTCATGAATAAGCAAAAATAATAAAATATAATTTTTTTATGCATTCGTGTTATGACCAGTTTGTGAATAATACAGACAAAATAACTGAAATGAAAGGAAGCTTCTGATTGGTGAATTATTTTGATGTTCTCTGGACCTGTTTACCACAATTCATAATCCATATAGGGAATAAATACCCTGGTCACGAACTATGCCTGACAAAGTGAATATTCATTCCTATTCAGACAGGTCTTTCCTGACTAAATTTGTCAACCAATTAGAGCAGGCCTTACTGGAAAGTGGCATGTAACACAAATCTGATTGGTTGCTAAGAGAAAATATATTTAGAAACTTATTTATAGCTTCAACTTGTTCTATTTACCAACTGATTGCAGTCATATGTATGTATATTATGAAAATATACTTGCAAGGCAATCAGAGGTAATGTGACTGTATCTAGATTGCAGCAGTAATTGCAACTACCGGTATTTAAATATTTGTTCATGAAATCAGTCTTTATTATTCAGGAAATTCTTAATTTTAGAAATACATGCATTTTCATATACTATATTTGCTCTATTAGCAGTGCATGTGTCATGTATAAGTAAATGACAGAGGTATGGCCAAGGTCAAAATATGTTCTATTTTAATAATCCACCATACAATAGGCCATTTTATGGTTTACCCGCACTTGTATTAGAGAGATGCGCTTTTACTAGAGCATATTTTTCAAGTGAAAATCCAGGAGCATTGAGCAAATTTGTTCCATATTCTGTTACCGTATATGAAGTGAAAGCCAATAAAACTGATTTTTTTCCAAAAATGCAGAAGTGAGGATTTTGATTTTGCAAAGAATTTCCACGAAACATAAGATTTTTACCAGAACATCTATTTCATATAGATTTGATAATTGCTATACGCTATCCAGATTCCCCATCTCACAACTGCACAACTAAAGTCCAGCTTGTGCAAAGTTACCCCGGTAATCTACGCACACCAGATATATTTGAACATTTTTTTTTAGTGTATAATAGATTGATTACTGTTACAGTATCAATACAGATTTTGGGAATATCGGAAAAATATCTGAAGTAAAATTACAATAAACAAATCCTATCACAAGTAGTGGCTTGTCATTGGCATTTTAATCATGAATACCGGTAATTCTTGCAAAATTATCACTATAAAACAATAAAATATAAACTATAAAAACAAAACAAAATTATCCCCATTTCTGGCATTTTTTCGTGAATCTACGGCATCACTGAGAGTGGGAAAATACCAAGATCAGACACTGGCTCTGGACCTATTTTGGGACTTTGAACTAGGGTTAATAACAAAATCTGCTGGGGATACAAGATACAGCTTAGTTGAAAATTAAATTCAACCTTTGTCACTTTGCCTAAAATAAACCTGAATGATTTCTCCCGAATTTTTTAGGTGAGTGACAATGCGGAAATTATGTTCAATTGATCCTATAAAAACACAAGTCATTGTCAATGACACGTCCCTGTTCCGTTCATATTTGAGTGACATATACATTCAAAGCAGATCATGACCGAAATTTCAGACCTCTGATCCGAAATGCACCTGCATATGTACAACTAAATTCTTTAAAACAAAATGGCTGCCAGTCGGCCGTTTTGAACTTGATTCGAAGAAAAATTGGTGTGCATCAAGCTTATATTATGTTTAATATATGCACTAAATCTGAACAAAATCCATCCATGCATGACTGAGATCCGGTTCCGGAATTGTGAAAATACGTGGTTTTGATGCATTTTCTGCCTTAAAATGGCCATCATTCAGCTATTGTTAAGCGGATCATGAAACAAATGCACATATCTATTTGTGACATGATGTGTGTGTGAAGTTTGAACTTGATCAATCCAGACACGTCTCGGATACGGATCCAGAACTGAATTCTTTAAAACAAAATGGCCGCCAGTCGGCCATTTCAAACCCTATCCAAAAAAAATGATGTGCATCAAGGTCCTATTATGTTTAATGTATGTACCAAATTTGAATGGTGAAAATGTGCGATTTGTATGCATTTTCGGCCTTAAAATGGCCGCTATTCGGCTATCGTTAATCGGATCATGAAAAAAATGCATGTGCATATGTCCCATATAATGTGTGATGTATGAGTGAAATTTGAACCTAATCGGTCCATGCATGTTCGAGATACAGGTGATCACGGACGCATGGACACACACAGCGCAAACCATAAGTCCTCGTTTTCGGACTACGTTCAAACGGGTACTAAAAACAAAAATATACAACAAAATTTGCAAGATTTTTGTTAGGAAAATTACGGTTAATAATAACCTTCAATCTTCAACAGTGGAAGAATAAGAATCACATTACAAAATAAATCAGTGGGTTTTTCTTTTATTGTAATTATGCAAAATTTAAGATAAAATTAAATAAAAATTGTAAATAATTTTTAATATGGCAGATTACATCTGACTAAAACCTGTTGAAATAAATAAGTCTACAGATTCTCAACTCATCATTTTAAAAATAAAAAGTTAAATATTGAGGTTGTATTAATTTAACTGTTTTTCATCATAATGTTGTGAATAATTTTTTTTTGCCGGAGTACTGTAATGGTATTAATTTTTCACTGATTATTTAATTTTGCTATTTTTCACTGGTGAAAGTGAATCTGCCTGAATATGTGAACATACAATAGAATTCAGAGTTTGAATTTTAAATCCAGTGAATATGGACAACATATCAAAACAGTGAAAACTAATGCTTTTACAGTACGGCAAATAGAAAAATACCGTAAAATCTGTATTAGTCGCACCCATTCTTTTTGAACAATTGAGAACTAAAAATTCTTCATTTCTCATATGTGTAGATGTTCTAATAGAAACCGCATCCATTCCGTTGCATTGTACTATTTTAATAGAAGCAGCGGTTTCTAATGCAGATTTTACAGTAATGTTTTCCACTTCACTAGTCAGTTAAGACAACACTAATAATATGCTTCAAAACAAATTGCAAGTTTCAGCAAAGAATAAAATTTCAACTAATAAAATAAATGTTTCACCATCCCAAGTACCCCCATCTGTCCGTTTCTATTCTTCAAAAAACATCTGTAGGAGATCTTCTTTCATCAACTGTTCTTTCACCAGTGTTTTCCCCCTTTCACTATTTTTTGATAGCGAAGCGGAGAAATCAGACAGAGGCAGCTTGAGTAAGCCCAGGATAAATGTTAAACATTTCCAAGAAAAAACAAACAAAACAATTATATTAGCTTGACTTTGAAAAACCAACCAAGTAATGCTTTCTTTTATATCATGTCAGATTGAAAATCAATACTTGACAGCAATAACTAACTCTAAAGTTGATCCATATACTTATTTGTGTTTCACCAGTTATTATTACATAATACTGAAAAAAACAACTGCACAAAATAATCTTGCACCAAACCTGATTTTTTTTTTATTAAATCTAGCACAGATCTTTTTCATTTCTTTATTGGTTTCCGCTCACAAGATTGGAATATTGTGGTTTCTTTTTTGTATTTTCAACATTGAAATGACAATGTCAATGTGGATACAACCATTTTTACGATGAAGACAAATTTATCTTAAAATAAATTTATTTTCTTTATGAGAATTACATTTCTAATAAAGTACATTTAAAACTAAAACTACATATAATGTATGCTGGATCACTAAAATATAACTAATTTTGATCATAGATACACCTCTGTCATTTACATAAGCACATGTGCTACTAATAGAGCAAATACAGTATTTACTACACAGTTCAATTTTCTATTGTCTCGGTGTTTATTCCATTGGTGTGAGAGGAAACCACAGAGGGATAATGCAATAATTGTTAATACGGGTTTTACGAAACAACTACAGTTAGGGTTAGGTACAGAATTTTCATAATATAAAAATTTCCCTAATTTTCCTGCTTGTAACCTACTATGTAGTGAAAAACCCAATTGATAATGCTATATTTGGAGTATAAACAAAGTGGAAAAGTGGAAAAAATCAAAACTACTTTCAGAAAGATATAGCCATGTATTAAATTTTCTTGTTCTTGTACAATTATTTCAGAACTAAATAATTTAAAGTGGATCAATTAAAATGCTGTTTTTATGTGCGATAAAATTGGCGACATTTGAGGATGGTTTGTTGTACTGCTAATGTAGAGAATACTGTAGAATACTTTATTTTCGCTTGGAATTTATTTTTGCTATTTTCGCTGAAGGGATGATTCCGTGAAAATAAAATCCAGCGAATATACTTTTTTTCCTATATTTCACATTAAACTCATCAAAAATCAGTGAAAATAAATTCCATACAAAACGCCCAAAAAGCCTTTTCAGCGAAAATTAATTCCAGCGAAAATAAAGTATTCCACAGTATTGTACATCTCTGGTAAGTCATGGCATTGCAAATTAAGTCAGTGTATGGCAGAATCTGATTAACTGTGGAAACAGCTACCAGTAACACTTTTGACACAGGAATTTTTTGAAATTTTGCAAAAAAAAATCCTTGGAGCTAGCTAGTTGAAAGTCTGAAGAAAACACTGGAAACAGGTTTTTGACTTCAGAACCTCAAATTCAATTTTAAAAATGGCCACCAAAGTATGGTTTAATTAACATTGCGTGATTCAGAAAATCAGTGTTTCCATGAAAACAAGTTTGGATACTTCCAATTTGTATTTGCTTTTTGTCATTTATTTCATGATACTTTTTACGATTTATCAAGAATATGTCATGCTGAATTTAGAAAGTTCACCATTCAGTTAAAATTTATTTTAATACAGACAAGATCAAATACCAACCATTTTGAAAATTACATGATGGGAGAAATATTGTTCTAAACGCTGATTCAGCACATGGCTAATTCTGTATGCAATTTTAAATATTATATGTCAATCTATGATTACGACATGTAATCTGACACAACAAAGTATATTCAAATTAAAAATCTGAGCTGGAATACTTACTGTACAAGCATAAGTTTTTTTATTTTCTTCAAAGTTGGATTTTTAAAGCAGTTGGACATGCTTGAGGTTTGTACACTATAATGGCTGGGATTTGGGATTCCAATGCATTAAAATCTTGCTTGGAATATTACTTCATGCACTAAAAATAAAATCTTAAGTTTTGAAAGAGATGAAATTTTCATACTTTATACTTTATACTTTCATACTGGGCCATGTCTTTTTTTTTTTTTCAAGTGGAATATCAAAATGTCCACCATTTTTTATGCAAGTGAAATTTTACCATTATATGCAAAGAAAACTTTTCCCCCACAATGCATTGTACATGCTCTGTACAATGCAAATGTAAAATTTTGATTTCCTTCATTTATATAGAAACATAAAATACAGTGAAGGGCACAAAGCTGGGGATGTTTTTGTAAATATAATGTTTCATAAATCAAAATGACTGGAATTCAAATTGACCAATCCAGAAATTATATGGCGACATCATTAGAAGTTTTTATTAATATTAATGAGTTAATTCAACATCTTCCAATCTGCAAGCCTTCATTTTGAATAAGTGGGCGGTTGCAGTTGATACGTCTTTTGAAGGCTTGTGTATGCAATCATTATTAAATATTCAAATTTGAATGTTAGGTGATGATCGGTATTCACAAATCATTATAAATATGTTTATAAACTTAGATACAGCTTTCTGTCTTTCACTGTAACACTGTACACCAACATAGGCAAATTTCGCAAATCTGGACCCCCCTCCCTTCTCAATAGCGTAATTGTCATGAATTAAAACAACGCATCCTTATTTGGTCCAAAACGCATAAATCAATAAAACTGCAGTATAGGACTGATTTATGTATTTGATTCACCCCTAGTAACAATGCAAACACTCCAACGACACAATATATAGAAAAATATTCAATATTCAAGCAAGAAATAAGTATGAGTAGGTAGATTCTCTTCAACTCAAGGTGAACCTCCAAGCGTGAGAACATCAAAACACATATCGCAGACACGAACTGGTTTGTTGAGATCGTACTTAATTATCGGCATCATCTTGGCTGAACACTTGGCGCAAACAATACGACCACAATGTCGGCTGTTGGGGGAAAAGTAAATCATATTATATTCTGATATTTACTTCAAAGCAGACAATGCAATTCACCATGAACGCTAGTAACACTCTGGCTAATCAAAATATAAAGACAACTATGTTTGTTTTAATAGAATGGAACCAAAAATTGTGTTAATGTCTGCTTGATTATTAAATACAACTTATTTTGACCACAGACACTGTCATTTACACGTGAGTGCATGCGCTACTAATAGAGCAAATACAGTAGGCAGCACCATGCTTCTTTAATTTGTAAACCAATCTGTAATTTATTCATTTGTCACTGTAATAAATGAAAACGCTTCTACTGGAAGTAGTACTGTACTTTTAACGCCATAGTTTATCCTGCCAAGATTTTGGTGCAAAATTTTGCCTATTTTTACATAATTTTGAAACAAATGAATGTATTTTCCTACTGGCTACAGGTTAGAATCAAAATTTTAGAAAAAATTTATAAAATATTATGCATGTTTTAATCTGAGATGACGACAAAAGTTGAAAGTTCAAAGAGTAAATACAAATGGCCTGCTTTTATGTAATCACTCATTTAAATACAAACATTATGGATGATTTATATATTTGGATTATTTTATTTTTCATGCGAAGGGCAAATATTCGGAAGAATTTCTACCAGTGATGTTTTCTTGTTTTGATACCAAACTTAGTCATACACTCTTGACAGCACTCATCATCAGACCACCGTGGCTCGGCTGACAGCATATCTGAAATAAAAAACAAAAGACACTCAAGCACAATTAAAATTGAAAAAAATAATTACCGGTAAGTTTTCTATGATTTATAATAAATAAATAAATAAATAAATAAATACACAGTATCTAAAATGGGTGTGAAATGTCACACTATTTGCCAAGTATTGTAAATTTCCGTTGCTATAGTAATTTTAGCAATAATCATAAGAATACAATTTCAGAAAAATGTTCATGGCTGTGATTTTAAGGATACAATATTCTGCAATTTTTACTGAATCACAAAAAGCAGCCAAATTTGATTACACTTTTTATGAAGTGAAGTTACAATAAAAACTGCATCACAAAATCTGAGAATATTTTGACTGGATTGACTTTCAATCAGTTACTATCAAAGTACACAAAGATTGTATTCAAGGATCTTGCACTTTTACATTTGAATTTAAATTCACATTTTTGAAGTGTAAAGATGAAATAAATTTCCGATGCTGTGAAAATTTAAACTTCAGTGTAATGCACTCAAAAATGGATCAGCATACATATGTACATGTAACAGTACCTTTTTGGAAAAATTAACTTATTTTTTTATTTGCACAAATAAGATATACTAGGCCAGACTTTTTTTATTCTTTGTTTCGCAAGTTTTTATAAGGCAATTTTTTTGAGGAGGGTGGAAAAAAAAAAATTAATTCTTTTTTTCCATTAGATTTGTGTGATTCTCAAGGAAATGCAAGTAAGATCATTGATCAGAGAGAAGAAATGAAATAAAATTTTATTCCATGTATAATATTGTTTCTCATCTGCGCGAGACTTCGGTACTTTGATCATGATACTCCAACTAAAATGCATCTTGGATTTGTTATGCGGCAGGCGGTAAAAAAATGAAGATGAAAATAATATTTTTTTAGCAATTTTTTGCACTTACAAGTTGGCGGGCACGAGAAATTACGCTGAAATAAAATTTTATTTTTATTTCATTTTCGGCTCCTATTTGGCAGGTTCGCGAAACAAGGGATAATAAAAGTCTGGCCCTACCGGTAATAAACAATTTATCTAGTTGGGGAACGTCTCTATACAGTTTCTTGAATTTTAGATAAGATGTTTGTAGTGTAATACAGTCTGTATTAACCTGATACTTGTTTAATATTCAAAATGGCGACACTACAAGTTCAATTCACTATCTTCGACAAGACAGAATTGTTTACTCTTGACAAACATTGAGAGAACTATCAGTTTAACAGAGATTTATGCAAATACCCATGTCTAAATATTCAATATTCACATACTTCTTACTTAATACTCCTCCTCAGAACAGCATCAACTTTTTTTTAAATAGGGATAAATGTAATGTAATTATAGTGTAATTTAAGCAAAACATAAATGCCAGCCTGACATGTAGGTGTGGGTTGCGCCACCGCCGGCCGAACGGCATCAGACCCCACTAACGCCTGACAGAATAGTGTATGTTTCCTAGGCAAAATCAAAACTGTGAATTCACAAAGTTCACGCCTTCTTGAAATAAGTTTCAATGAATATTCATTTTGGTGGTCATGGTAACACCGTCAATAAAAGCCATGGTTGCATTGTCGGCAAAAATCACAGACTGTTTTCAGCAAGATGATGAACATTGAGCAGAAATTTGCCGGCACCTTGTCACACATTATGTCAACAAACAAATAAACTTTTTCGTGAATGGTTACTCTTTAATGGCTGTCACTATCTGACGATCCTGCAGTTTTGATTGGTACCAACACCGTATATACTGTCAGGCGTGTGTTGAGTTTGGAGAAAAAAAAGGAACACGCCATGACATGTGCCATCTTCATTTAACCTTACCCTGCTCCGGATAAGTGTTAAAACCGATGAGTTAATTTATAAATAAGCATGCGTATGAAAAATGAGAACGCTGTAACCTACCCAACATTCTAAAAAGGAGCTGTTTAGTCGCAACTTGTGCATTGAATATTGAGACACCTTGCTTGTTAACTGGGCCCAGACAGGCTCCTGAACGAACGATGGCACGGCATAGATTAGCATTGCCTTGCTGATAGGCTAGTAATAGAACTGGAAAATAAAATTAGGATATATTAGTAATTTAAGACAACAAGCAGCTTCTGAAAAAATAACACAGTTGTGATTTAATACCCAGCTTAAACTACAAAACATATTTGACAAATTTGTATTCAAATACAGATTTGAGGGCACTCATGAAATATTTGTTTTTCTCATTTATATTTGGAATTTTTGGAGCTTTAATATAATTTTATATATCCAACAACCTCCTGTTTAAAAAAAAAAAAAATCAAGGATGCCACTTAAAACTTTAACAACATCTCGCAACATTTATATTTTCATTTTATTGTGGTTTTTTTTCAGTTGATCACCTAGGATCAAACCAAATAAAGCTCCAGAATGATCTGCACAATGATATTGGTGTGTTCTTTCAGCATATACCGTATTACCTGTGTTGCCCTCGGCATCCGGTCTATCCACAGGGTATTCATGCATGCATTCCATAAACAGATCAAATATAGATGCTGCATTATCTTTACCATACTGGCCCAACACATGCATTGGTGTCTGCCCTCTACAGGTGAGACAAAATAAAATATGTGTTTATAGGCAGATAGGGTAATAAAATTAAATATTGAAAAAATAACAAACTGTTTTTATGGAAAAAAAGTCAGGGATAGCAAGCAAAATCGTTTACAACAATTTTTTTTATGAAAAGCAGAACAAAACAAGTTTTAACTGCTTCTAAATTACATTATTATGCTAAATAAGATTATGAATGTCTATAAAATAATACTACATTTAACCACATAGGAAAATCAAGCCCTCAAAACTAATTTTCATTCTGAATTACAGTTAAAGCGACCAAGGACAAAACGCTATGAACTGGAGCCATTGTCTTATTATGGTGCTAAAATGTGGAACTCGCTTCCTAACCGAATGAAAGAGTGCAATGATTTGTATTCTTTTAAGCAGATAGTGTCATTGTGGTCACCATCATTTTAGGATATTTTAATTACTTAAACAATTAATTATGTGAAGTCTTTCTGTTGTTTTTCTCTGTGTTTGATGTTTGTAATTTTTGCTTTTGTTTGATGTAATTTTTAATAGTCAGTGATAGTAGCCTCTGGCTAGCTATTTCAAACTGACTTTAAATAAACGAATTGAAATTGAATTGAATAACAGACTTCAGCCAAATGTATCCTGTGAACTTTCAAGCCAAAAAAAGTTATCTTTTTGCCTGGCTTTATAAGATTTTGACAGACTCTATAAAACATTAGAAAAGTTACAATGAAATAGCCACTAGAGGGCAATATGACTAGAGCTAAAAATTGCCACTAGATGGCGCTATATAACCATACCTGAGATTTACGGCCTCGGCATTGATCTGTGATTCTGTGAGTAGTACTCTAATACAGTGTATGTTTCCATGTTGTACCGCCACATGAAGCGCTGAAATAAAACCAGTACAACATGAAAGCTGAAACAACTAACACTGTGTCAATTATGTTGTGGCAAACAAATGTTGCTGTCAGGCAAATACCGTATTTGCTCCATCGCAAATGTATGTGATAGACGATGGAGATGTGAGTATGGTCTGAATATCAAAGTCATGTTTTAATGTATGTGATAGACGATGGAGGTGTGAGTATGGTCTGAATATCAAAGTCATGTTTTAATGTATGTGATAGACGATGGAGGTGTGAGTATGGTCTGAATATCAAAGTCATGTTTTAATCATTCAGTAAACAGCAAATGAAATTTCTTGTTCAAATTATAGATTTGCTTGAAATGGAGCTAATCTTGTAATATATATTTTTTTCACTTTATTCGTGACTATTTTCATTTTGTTTATCTACCAAATACAGATTTACCCTTGGTACCACCTAAGTGATTTTACCAAGGTAAATTTATATGCATATGTATGACTTTGCATAATGTCAGAAACTAACCAATGCATGTCTGAGAAAGAACTGGATATCTAGGTTCAGGTAGGTTAATAAAGTTTATTAAATATTGATTTAACTTATTAACTAGCCAGGTTCTGAAACATGCAGCTCTGCAAGGCAATAAGATACAAGTTATGTAGTGGTTTAAATTCTAAACATTTAATAAAGAGACTTACCGTTATTCATATTATCATCTAATGCATCCACGTCTACATGGTTTTCTATTAATATACTACAAATAGCGGGATGGTCATGTATGGCAGCGATATGAAGACATGTTTGTTTGTGGTTGTTTAAATCAGTTATACTCGCACCCGCCAAAAGCTGGAAAAAAAGAAAGAAAACATATTCGTTAGTGACAAATCGGTTGATGCATTTACATTTTTATTGATACAAGGATTGATTATGCGATCCTTCTGCATTCATTTTGAGGTGAAAAGTTGAAAGAAGAGAAACTGTTCTGGAAACAGCAATTTTTATATTGATTCAACATGGTACGAAAGAGATTAAAAGAAGTATGTGGATGCAATCAGTGCATTTTTTTAGACAACAAGAATCTCTATCTGAAAGAAAATGCAATTCAAGCATTGAACTAAAATAATACAACAGAAAAAAACAATTATTATCAAGAGTAATGAAAAATCTGTATTAGAATCCCTGACAGAAGCAGCGATTGAGAACCAAAAATACACCACTTCTCACGTTGTTGATGCTCCAATAGAAGCTGCATCCCCTGTGTTGCATTGTACTATTATAATGGAAGCCTCAGTTCTAATACAGATTTTTACAGTATGCTATTGATATGTCTTCTATCCATCAAACCAGTCTCTTACCAGATTCCTAACGATCATCTCGTTACCCGTCTGTATGGCCATGTGAAGCGGGGATAACCGACTGGCGTCCTGTACTCTTGAGTTGACATTTGCGTGGACGCTGATTAAAAATAACACACTCTCTATATCGGCATTCATAACAGCAATATGGAGAAAATTTCTACCTTTGTTGTCAAGCTAAAAAAACAAACAAGCAGGATTAACATTAACTGAATTCACACACACACAGAAGACGATTTACTATTAAAACTTTGCAGACGTTGTACTGGAGTATACAACATGCATGTAATGCACAGTTTGTTTGTACAAAATTTTAACTGAGACAACTCACTTTCACAAAATATATTTACTTGTTAATTTTTTTCAGATATTTAACACAAAATGAAATAAAACCAGCAGCGGATGGGAAATTATAATAAGTTGGTTCAAAATTAAGTAACAATGACTTAGAAAAATACACAACATTGGTTTTTCTTAATATTTTTGTTCCAGGTAACAGTTCCGATTATTGAATTTCACTGTTGTACAATTTGCAAGTGCAAGTGCTGACATATAGTGAATTTTTGCCACAGAGCCCATATTTGAATATGAGATTACGCTGTGTGATATATCATAATATCATTATGGTAGTTTAATGCATTATCTTGATGTCAACTAAGCATCTTCAGACTTCAACACTATGTAGTGTACAACCCCAGGTAGGATACCTATCTACTTCGTTGACCTTCACATAAATACCAGGAAACCCAGTTCTCACCTGCTCGGCAGCTCCTGGTTCTCTGTCTAGAATCAACTGTGCAGCTTTGTTGTTTTTGGAGGTCATGGCAGCAGCAAATGGGGTCTGCCCGTTCTTGTCACGTAGGGTCAGATCCAACAACGGATGTGACATTAATAGTCTAATAAGAGTATCATGCTGATTGCTAATGGCGATGTGGATTGGCGTGTGACCTTCATTGTCCTTGAAATGTGACAAAAAGAAAAAAAAGGATTCATAAGAAAATCGATAAATACAAATCAGAAATGTATTTGAGGGGTTTAAAGGTATGATATTATTTATTGAATAGTGAATTTACGAAAATTTTAATATTTCTGTATATATACTGGATAAAATACCATCACTGAGAGCTTATACATGCTCATTGCCCCAAAGACTTTCCAACAAAAAATATATCATGTTTCCTTTATTAGTTGGTGGTATCATGATTGATCTTCAACAAAATGAACCAAAATGCGAGGAATTTCTATTGGTAGATCAAATTGATTAGAATCAACAAAATTGACTGACAGTGTTACCTTCGCATTCACATCAGCGTTCATTTCAATCAGGGACTGTACGACTTGCTCTAACCCCCATTGACAGGATAGATGTAACGGTCCCTGACCATCTCGAGATTCCTCACCCCCTTCACCGTTTGGACCCGGACGGCGTGAAGTATTAACATCACATAGACTGTAAAACAATCATATATTTCCTTCAGAAAATAGCTGAATTTTTGAAGCAAAAACTGAAAATTTAATCAAATTGTGTTTGCTGGCTAAACAATTAGTGTTTACTTTCTAAATATTGATGCATATAAGAAAAAAATGCAGAAAATTTTGGACTAGAAAGTCTGGTGGTGAAAACGTAAAAGCAGTTTAAAGTATACTGATGTTCAGGAAACAGAATTTCAAACCTTCAGTCTCACCTTCTGATCAGAAAACAAGAAACAGCTTCGTTATTCTCATCAATGGCCCTGTGTAGTAACGTCTGCTGACAATTTGACGGTCCACGACCCCAAGCATTCGTGTCACAACCATGCCTCACCAACGTTGATGCCACGTCCTCCTGTCCGCTCTCAAGTGCAATCCATAAGGGAGGATTTCCGTTCTCGTCAATTACGTTCATGTTCGCACCGCGTACACAGAGAGCGTCTACCACGACGGGTAAGTGGCGCTTGATGGCAACCTGCAGAGGAGTTTCATTTTCTTTGGTTCTGTAAATAAAAAGGGAATTAAATATCTCAGTAAGAAATAAACAATACAAGACTGGAATTCTCAGAGATATTTGAAGCCCAGCTTGACTGCATGTATAACACTGTACTGAGAATACAGGTAACTGCAGTAAACATCAAAAGGAATAGAATGATTTTCCTTGCAGCATCACTTCATGTATCACAATGTATTATGTTTAATACTGTAAAACATGTCTTTTTCGCGAGCATGTCTTTTTAGCGAATTTAGCGAGTGATCTGATTCGCTAATTGAAGATGTCGCTAATGACTTAATTATAAATTCAAAATGGCCAAGACTTGGAGATTTGTATACAGTAATCCGGAACATAAAAATCTGGAGCACTTCCTAATTACACTTGACAGTTTTTCTTTGTTTTTATGAAGGTGATAACTGCGCATTTGTTTTAGCATGCGACAGACAAATATTGTGAAATACACCCAGCGACACCGATGCCAGCTGACTGTCTGACGACACTGTATCTCAACGGAAAATCGTCGGCGCATTTCAGATATTCTTGGTTACGCCAGAATCTGGAACTGTAAACCAAACTGCTTCTTGTCAAGCAATTGTTTCTCGTTCACCGACTAAGGTTTTTAACAACTGTGAAATTAACATGTCTTTACCCGTCTTTACCTGTGGCTACAACATCAGCTCCAAGTAATCGTCCGTTGTCGGACGGTCAGTAAATGACCAACTTAGCTGGACTGTAGTGTCCTTTCTTAAGAAAGAAAGTTTATAATGAGTTCATATTTATTACTGTTAAAATATTGTTATAAATTTATGTTCATTTGCTGTTTCATTAAAACGCAATTTGTGGATATATTTGGTGACATTAGTTTGTGTATAGATCCCTGTCACTGACGTCATGCGGTACCGGTCTATTGTGTGAGAGATGTTGACGCGATTGCGTCATTTAGAATCCATCGTATAAATCCGCACCAGTAAAAAGGCCCGTATCGAAACCCAGATGAAATCGAATAGGTTTTCTTTTGGGCCAGACGAGCGAAAAATAACATAACTAAAGACTTTTTTTTTCATATAAGGTATATGATAAAACCTTTATGGACTGGATACGGCTTTTGCTGCCCTCGATCGCACCGCTTGCACGCCCTAG